TTTTAATTTTCCTGACACTTTTCATATTTTCCAGACCTTTTTATTCTACATTTTTCCCACCCAGCAAAACAAGTAAATTTTACTGCTGCTCACTAACACTGTAACATGGACGACATATCTACAGTGGACATGTGTGCCCTGTGCGCACAGCAGTGCTGACTGATCCTTCCTCTCTCAGACGAGGATTTCCAAAAACATGCTGCTCTCCTACAGAGGGCAAGCCATCTATCCTCCCTCTCACAGTGAGTCAGTGATTCAGAAGGCCCAGAGCTAAGGAGAATCCATAAAAAGTCCCTTCTAGGGTTTCATTGCTAGAGTTAGCAAGGAAGATCCTTTTGCCTTTGGGGTTATAATACTAGGAAGATAACACATTATATTACAAGATTTTGTGATATACTATGAAGGCAATTAAGCCAATACGGTGAGGAAGGCAGCCCAGGAAGAGAGACACAGGCAGAAAAAGACCCAGCATCGTTATCTAAGTCATGAACCCTGTTACATTTACACTTCTTGGTGATGTGAGCCAATATTATGTTCTTTACAGTTCAAGTTGATCTGACATGTATTCCTGTACTCTCCCTCCTTACACGCAAGAGTCCTGTATAACTTACCAAGTTTTTCTTCTCATATCACTGAATATTGTTTAGAAGAGTGATTTGAAATGCTGACATACTTTCCATCACATGGATATATTTTACCTATTATTACCTCATGTGTATTAATAGTATTCTCCTACTACTGACAACTTGGGGGGTGTTTCCAATTATTTACAATTAAACATGCCCTTTTGGGGGTGGGGTGGGGCAGCTTTGCATGGCTTGCAGGATCTTAATTCCCCAGAAAGTGAGTCGCTTAGTCCTTGCAACCCCATGCAGTTCATGGAATTCTCCAGGGCAGAATACTGGAGTGGGTAGCCTATCCCTTTTCCAGGGGATCTTCCTAACACAGGAATCCAACCGGTGTCTCCCGCAATACAGGCAGATTCTTTACCAACTGAGCTATGAGGGAAGCCCATGGATCAAACCTGGGCCCATGGCAGTGAAAGTGCTCAGTTCTAAACATCGGACTGTCAGAGAATTTCCTGTTATGTTCCTTTCAAAAGCCTCAACTGTATAATCAAATTTTGTTTCTGTGAAGACTACATTCAGAATTTCCAATGTGCGTATAGCAGAAAAACACTGGCCCAGAGCAAACATAATTCAAAACAAATTTCAAACAAATATGATATTGTCTGAAAATCTATGCTTAAAGATCCCCAACATTTTGTCAAGCTGTAAGTGATAGAGACAACAGTCTCAGAATAAAATAATCTATAATCTGCAAGCTCCTTATATGCACAATGGATGACATGAATGTCTTAATATTAAACACACAAAACCCTGAAGTTATTTTTTTGCCCTGTGCTGTATTAAGTATTAGTCTCTCAGTTGTGTCTGCCTCTTTGTGACCTCATGGACTTTAGCCCACCAGGCTCCTCTGTACATGGGATTTTTCAGGCCAGAATATTGGAGTGGGTTGCTACTTCCTTCTCCAGGGAATCCTCCAGATCCAGGGATGGAACCCAGGTCTCCTGCACTGCAGGCAGATTCTTTACTGTCTGAGCCACCAGGGGAGCCCGATTAATCTACTGCTTTTTCAAAGTCGTCATGTCAATTAAAAAATCTTTTTAGAATATATTTTAATTTGCTAAACCATGTTCTAAGGTTTGTTATAATGACATCATTAGTCTGAACTTGTTAAAACTGTGACAAATAAAGAGATTCTGTAAGATACCTTGTAGCTAAGACTCTTTTCCACCCCTCCCCAAAAGAAGTAAATTTCTAGGGCATTAAAACAGCTATCTGTTAAGGCATCAATAACAACAGTAATAAACATTTATTCACTAATCACAGTGTAACCTGACTGCAAATGCAGGAGATGTAAGAGACATGGGTTCAATCCCTGGGCGGGGTAGATCCCTTGAAGGAGGGCATGGTAACCCACTCCAGTATCCTTGCCTGGAGAATCCCAGGGACAGAGGAGACTAGGGGGCTGCAGTCAATAGGGCTGCAAAAAGTCAGACACGTCTGAAGTGACTTAGCACTGGCAACAATAGTAATACACATTCATTCAATAATCACAACTATAAACCTAACCAGGATGATTATGGAGAAAGAAATGGCAACCCACTCCAGTATTCTTGTCTACAATATTCCATGGAGAGAGGGGCTTGGCAGGCTTCAGTCCACGGGGTCACTAAGAGTTGGACATGACTGAGTCAGTCTCTCTCTCTCTCTCTCTCTCTCACACACACACACACACACACACACACACACACACACACACACACACACACGATGATTATAACGAAGCTCACTGTTTGGTAATATACTTAAACAAATGGAATTAGTCTATCTACTCACCATTTTATTTTCCCCTTACAATAACATTTTTCAAACATACAATGCCCTACCTATAACAGGAACTACTAAAGAATACTTTTTGGTATGAAGTCGCTCTGTCTTAAATCCTTTCTAAAAAGACTGTTAGAAGTATTCATCAACTTCAAGCTGGAATGGCTGGATTGTGGAATTATAACACAGTTTAATTTATCAATGGCCTTATTAACTTAATGAATGACATGATAGTATTTATTATTAACACTAGTGTATGTAAATCTGTAAAATTAACATTGAATTAACACATTTACCAGTACCATCTTCTCTCCATTCACTGCTACATAAATTACTATGCTTAGAAAATACCTGCTTCTGCCTCAGAAATCAAAAAGATCTTAGAAATAAGAGATCAAGCATACTGAATTAATTTCTTGCTTGTTTCCTCTTCTTTTTTTTAAACCAACTTAATTCTCTTTTCTATTAGCTCAAGAAGTGATTTCGGGTATTAAACTTTATCAATAGACAATTGATAAAATATATACTGAATGTATCTGTAGTTAAGGCTACTCATGGCTCTCATTAACTTTTTCACTAAAACGAGGTGATGATGAACTATCCAACAAACAATATATTTTTCAATAAAAAAGAAGTTTCCCTAAAACACTAAGTTGATTTAGACTCCTTAAATCCAAAGAAACAAACAAAAAAGGCGCAGGCAAATATTAGAAAACAAAAACAACAACTTTTCTTATGGCAACAGATAAGCATGAAGTGCCAACCAGCTGTGCTTGATCTTTTTTAATGTATGTTTAAAAATTAATAAACATGTTTATAGTGGCTTAAGGAAATTAAGGAAGTAGAAAATAAATTAATATGATATCTATGTAAGAGAGATATGAGGCAGGACTATTTAACAGAATGCTGGGGGGATCATTAATTATGTGGTTGTGTAAAATCTCACCTTTTCGGGTTAAGAAATTTTTAAAAAAGAGGCTAAAATTATACATTCAATTTTATATTGCACATGTGGTGTAAGCCCTCAAAGGCTGGAGAAACACAGCCAAGTTAAATCATTTATACTTAATTAAAATCCTTGCAAAAATGAACTCTGTACTTCAAGGGGCAGTAAGAGTCTCATTGCCATTCCTACATTACAGTCTTACTCATAGTGCTAGTAAGTTATGTATTCAAAAAACTATTGCTTACAAAAGAGATATGCACAAACAAGTAAAAACACCAACTGAAACTAGGTAAAACAGTTAAAAGAAACACTTCCACAGTTAAAAAATACCTGCAATATACGTAAACATGTAATAAATAAAAATGCACGAAACAGTACAAGTAACATTCTTGAAGGATCTAAGCCACTGCCTAAAACTGGCTTGGTCTGCACAAACTAAAATGTAAGGCAGAAATCTTACTACTAGCAAAACTACCTTTAAGAATTATCAACACTATTGACTTTCAGGTAATAACAAACACTTCCCTCTCCCTTTTGCAAATGCTTTCTTTTAAAAGTGAAAGTTTAATTACAAACGACTATACAAAGATTTACACTAATTCAAAATGATACATTAATTATCTTGAGACTCTCTGGCACTTAAAATATAAGATGAGCCAGACTTCCCTGAGCATCTACTTCATAACTTTATGATAATGCAGCATCACCATAACACACAAGAACCATGCACAAAAACCCCCAAATAAAAAGCAAAGCCAAATTGACGCTAATTCGTGGTCCAGATAATCGTTCTTAGTTCCCACACCGACAATGTTTTTGAATATCAACTTGAAATGTTAGTGAATATTTAAAAAATTGTTAAGTCTGTTCATAAATTAAACCTTGAATCTTTAAAAATCACCATTCGGTTACATAAATTCGTTTTGTTCTACACTGTTGATATTTTAAACTCTGAATACTGGGAAATTTCTGAGTCAAGAAAAAAACCATTGAGTCGATTCTCTCATACCACCCCACCTCCCAAACCCCAAACAAACAAAAAGTAAATCCTCCTCCCCAGCTTTTCTGTTTAAACAAGTAGTTAAACTACTTTTCAAAAGCTAGCCTGGCTCTCAATTCTCTATGGCACCTTTACCTTGTAACAAAACGGAGCCTGGACAAGACTAATTAAGCTCTGTTTCTAGATTCACAAGTGGCGTCAGGTCTGGGAGCAGGAAGGCCCCCTAGTTTTTGGACCCCTCTTCCAGCATTTCGCACTCTTTCAAGTATGAAGAGGGGACAGGAAGACTGGGCCCGAAAGGGCAGAGCCGGGGCCTAGACCACTGAACAGTCCCCAAAACGGCTCGCGCGACAGGGAGGAGGCAATGAGAACCTGACGCTGGAGCCCAGGGGTGCCCTTGCAAACTAAAGAAGCGCTCGGATTTGGAGCTCAACGCTCGGGACCCCCTTCACTGCCTCCTTTACCCTCCCTTCCCCCATGCTGGAGAAACAGGGCGCGGGCCCGGTGCGGGAAGGGGGAGGAGGTAAACTCGTCCTGTCACTGCATCGGGAGAGGCTGGAAGGCGCACATGTTCTATGGGGAGAGGCCGCGGCCGCCCCTGCCCCGGCTCCTAAAGCCAGAAACCACCTCCAGCCCCAGAGTTTTGTTCCCTGCGCCTCACCAGGTCGTAGTCCTCCTCATCATCGCACATGAAATCATCCTCCATGTCAGACATCTTGGCTGGGACGGGGGGAGGGGGGAGGAGAAATTGGAGACAACCTCCTCCCACAATCCTCCGCGGCTCAGAGGCGTCACTCCCAGCTTCTCTCCTTCCCGACGCTCTTAGAGGAGCTGAATGTTTCCTCCCGGAACAAATGAGCTCGGTTTTGAGAGGATTCGCTACGACGCTAAAAGCGATTGCACCGTACCCCTCTTCCTGTGAGACGGTTGGTGCCTTAGCAACTAAACCTAGTAACTAGGGAATCTTCAAGTGCTTCGAATTTCCGTTGAAGGGCCTTGGAAACCTTTCGCTCATAAGGTGCGGTTTCCAGCCTCCTGGGCAAGGCAACAGTCTCCTCCCTTGCCTGGGACTCTGGAACCATTTCAGTCTGGTGAAAGTAAGAGGCAGTTTGGGACTAGAAGGCTTTCGCGGAGAAAAGTCTGACATGCCTATCCTGTGTGACAGGTAGTATTATTTTTGCCATGATTACGGATGTGCATTTAGCCCACACATTTTGGTGGGTGGTCCTGTGATGTTTGGAAAACTTTCAGCAGAACGGTTTACACGTAATGTTTGTTGTATTTGTAGTCAGCAAAACGACTCTGTAGATATCCTAAATTAAGTATCAATCTATTGAGGTACTTGAAGTTTTATTCAGTTGTTCAACGAATTATAAACTAAACTTTATTGCCTGTGGGACCAAATTAAGGTAACAGTTAACAACTGTTTTTTTATAAAACGCATTTTTGTTGCACAGCATCATCAGTAGAATTCGAAATAGTAATAAAAATTGAAATGAAGGGAGAAAAGACTGCTTTTCAAACAGCATTTTTCATATAAACTTCTGTCCACTTGAATTCACAAATTTTATATAGTTAACAGCACAGACATAATTTCGGATGCTTTTTTGCATCTAGTTATGTTAACAGCATAGGACAATGTATGCACTATATTGTTGACAAAGATTATTTTAATAGTGACATAATAAACCCTTCGTTGAATGCAGTGTAATTTACTTAAGCATGCTATTATTATACATTTCGAGTATTACAGTAATGACAATATTTTAAACTATTTTGGAGGGAGTATTTTTGTCACTTAGTTTTTTTTCTTAGGAAAAATTCCAAGAAGAGGAATTGCAGGCTGGATTTTTTTTTTTTTTTTTTTTTTCGTTTTGGCAGTTACTCAGTAAGTAACTGCTTTGGTTTTTTTTTTCCCCCCTGGCTGCCCCAGGATACAGAATCTTAGTTCTCTGACTGTGCTCCCTGAATGGGAAGCATGGAGTTTTAACCGCTGGGTCAGTCAGGGAGGTCCCTGGATATATTAGTAATCATTTGCTTTTGTTTTTATTTTAATAATTCAAAAAATTTTACTGGAGTATTGTTGATTTAAAATGTTGTGTTAGTTTCAGGAGTATAGCAAAGTGAATCAGTTGTACATATACATATATTCATTGTGGTTTTTTTTTTTTTTACTCTTTTTCCATTTTATATATATAGTGGTATGTATATGTCAGTCCCAGCCTCCTAATTTAGTAATCATTTGTATTGCCATCTTTTTGGTCATAGTTCTTAAAAGTCATATTTATAGCAATAATACTGTCTACCTATAGACAGAATTTCCCTTTCCTTCTTTTCCTCCCAATATTTTATAATGAGGAATTTAGAACATACTGAAAAATTTAGAGTTAGTCCAGTGAATGTGTGTATATACCTATCAGCTTTATTTGTATGTAAGTATTCCTAGAATCAGTTGAAAGTATAATAAGATGCACATATCATTACATATCACTCAAATGCAGCTGTGTATTTCCTAAAAATAAGGGCATCCTCTTATCACAACATCATTGTTAAACAAGGAAAATTAAATATTCCCCCACATCATCTGATACCCAGTGCATGTTCAAAATTCCCTTATTAAACATAGACTTTTAGAATTGGAAGAGCCTTGTATCACTTCAGTCTCTAAGGCTTCCTAAGCATGGAAATTAGTTATAACTTTTCAAATCCTGCACCAGAGATTCTGATTCAGTAGGTCTGGGGTAGAACTCAAGAATCTGTTCTTGTAGCCTTAAAATAAAACAATCTCCCTGTAAGTTGTAACTATATATCCTATTTTGTCTAGAATAGCCTAGTCCTATTGTCCCAGAATAAAAATTATCAGCATCCATCACTCTCAAAAGTCTGTACAATAAATCACATGATTACTCTATCTGTAACCCATACTTCTTCAGAAGAGAAAAAAGAATCTCAAGGTGATTAAGAACTTTTTTTGCTCAGATAATCAGCTACATAGTTTTGCATTTTAAAGTCAGTATAGTAATTCTGAAATGATCTATTAATCATGTGCATATGAATATGTAATAAAACTGCATGTTTATTTACATTGAATTTATTTATATATTTTGGTGCCTTTTAATATAATTCCTTACTTCTACAATGTGGAAAAATTATTCAAGAAGTTAGTGACTAGGAGCACTAGGAAAAGTGCAGCCACATTTTGAGTGTAATATTCTTGGCCTCCAAATTTCACACACTTAGTCTGGAAATTTGCTGAGAGAAGTTGAAAAGGTTTTCACAGTGTTTAGCTCACTGCTTGGGTACACAAATGCAAATGAATATTTGTTGTAGAAATAAACATGTCAATCTTTCTATGCAGGCAATGCCCTTATATATATGTCTACACATAAAAATCTTTTTCTGTCTTCAAAACTTCATTTAAATATCACTTCATTCACATATCCTATCCTAAATACTTTGTACAGTTAAGCTATTCTCTTTTTCTTGACATCAATTTTATTCAGCGGTAAAGTAAAAAGTGGAAGTCACTCAGTCATGTCGATTTCTTTGCGACACCATGGACTGCAGACTGCTAGGCTCCTCTGTCCATGGAATTATTAAGGCGAAAATACTGGAGTGGGTTGCCATTCCCTTCTCCACAGGACCTTTCCAACCCAGGGATCAAATACGAGTTTCCTGCATTGCAGGAAGATTCTTTACCAGTTGAGCCACCAGGGAAGCCCCAGTAGTAAATCATTAAAAGTTTTTTAACAGTTTATTGATCTGATCTGGTGCCTTTGTACAAAGTGGTTCCTGTGTTTAAAAAATATTTTTTTTAAAGCTGTTTGAGGTATAATTTATCAGCTTTATTGAGGTACAGTAAACTATACACTATGAGCCATAAACTGAAACTATGAGCCATGCTGTGTAGGGCCACCAAAGACAGATGGGTTATGGTAGAGAGTTTGGACAAAACTGGAGAAGGGGATGGCAAACCACATCAGTATTCTTGCCTTGAGAACCCCATGAACAGTATGAGAAGGCAAAAAGATAGGACACTGAAAGATGAACTCCCCGTCAGTAGGTGCCCAATATGCTACTGGAGATCAGTGGAGAAAGAACTCCAGAAAGAATGAAGAGACGGAGCCAAAGCCGAAACAACACCCAATTGTGGATGTGACTGGTGATGGAAGCAAGGTCCAATGCTGTAAAGAGCAATATTGCATAGGAACCTGGAATGTTAGGTCCATGAATCAAGGCAAATTGGAAGTGGTCAAACAGGAAAAGGCAAGAGTGAACATTGACATTTTAGGAATCAGCAAACTAAAATGGACTGGAATGGGTAAATTTAATTCAGATGACCATTGTATCTACTACTGTGGGCAGGAATCCCTTTGAAGAAATGGAGGAGCCATCATAGTCAACAAGAGCGTCCAAAATGCAGTACTTGGATGCAATGTCAAAAACAGCAGAATGACCTCTGTTCATTTCAAAGGCAAACCATTTAATATCACGGTAATCCAAGTCTATGCTGTGACCCGTAATGCTGAAGAAGCTGAAGTTGAAGTTCTGTGAAGACCTACAAGACCTTCTAGAACTAATACCCAAAAAAGATGTCCTTTTCATTATAGGGGACTGGAATGCAAAAGTAGGAAGTCAAGAAACACCTGGAGTAACAGGCAAATTTAGCCTTGGAGTACAGAATGAAGCAGGGAAAAGGCTAATAGAGTTTTGCCAAGAGAACGCACTGGTCATAGCAAACACCCTCTTCCAACACTGGAGAAGACTCTACACATGGACATCACCAGATGGTCAATACTAAAATCAGATTGATTATATTCTTTGCCACCAAAGATGGAGAAGCTCTATACAGTCAGCAAAAATAAGACCAGGATCTGACTGTAGCTCAGATCATGAAATCCTATTGCCAAGTTCAGACTTAAATTGAAGAAAGTAGGGAAAACCACTATACCATTCAGGAATGGCCTAAATCAAATCCCTTATAATTATACAGTAGAAGTGAGAAATAGATTTAAGGGACTAGATCTGATAGACTAAATCTGATAGAGTGCCTGATGAATTACGGGTGGAGGTTCGTGACATTTTACAAGAGGCAGGGATCAAGACCATCTCCCAGAAAAAGAAATGTGAAAAAGCAAAATGGCTGTCTGAGGAGACCTAAGAAATAGCTGTGAAAAGAAGAGAAGTGAAAAGCAAAGGAGAAAAGGAAAGATATACCCATTTGAATGCAGAGTTCCAAAGAATAGCAAGGAGAGATAAGAAAGCCTTCCTCAGTGATCAGTGCAAAGAAATAGAGGAAAACAACGGAATGGGAAAGACTAGAGATCTCTTCAAGACAATTAGAGATACCAAGGGAACATTTCATGCCAAGATGGGCACAATAAAGGACAGAAATGGTAGGGACCTAACAGAAGCAGAAGATGATAAGAAGAGGTGGCAAGAATACACAGAACTCTACAAAAGAGATCTTCCTGACAGAGATAATCACAATGGTATGATCACTCACCTAGAGGCAGACATCCTGGAATGTGAAGTCAAGTGGGCCTTAGGAAGTATCACTATGAACAAAGCTAGTGGAGGTGATGGAATTGCAGCTGAGCTATTTCGAAACCTAAAAGATGATGCTGTGAAAGTGCTGCACTCAACATGCCAATAAATTGGGAAAACTCAGCAGTGACCACAGGCCTGGAAAAGGTCAGTTTTCATTCTGATCCC